TGGAGCACTTCCTGCTATCTGATGATGAGAGCTCCAGGCTCGTCTCGCCCTCCCCCACCCAGCCTCAGAAGTAGCCATTTCTCCAAGGTAACCAGCTTCTTTTAGTAGAGAATGGTCTTTAGAAACCAAGATCTGGGCATGAGGTGTGCTCATTGTTCCTGGGGTGTCAGTGCTTTTAGGCTCTCTTAGCAGACAGGTCAAGGAAGAGGGAGTGCATGTGAGTACACATCCGTATCTATTATTAAGAACCATGATTTCACACCAATGCCTTCAGTGACAGTCCAATGCAGGAAATCTTGTCCAGGATTAAGAGTTTTCTAAGTTCTCCAGAACCTGGCCATCAAAGTGTAAGCTTAGGGGCAAGGATTCTCTCTCTTCCGAATGTCAGCTCCTGCAAATGCCTCTCCCTTTCTGCCCCAGTGTCAACAAGAGGCCTTAGTCACACCACCCACCACACCCACGTTTTTGAAATAAGTAGCTAATAATGCTTGGCACAATGAAATGCCTCTGGCAAACAAAGGCCCTGGAGAACTGGAACCAGGTTCAATGACCTGGGAGAAGATGGTAACTCAGCTAATCAGCACCGGGGAATAGAGTGTCTGTGGTGGACCAGTTGTCTGCTATGGAAGCCTTTGGGAACATAGGCATACGTGCTGTCAGCCATCGTGAGCACCAGGAGGCTGACTGGCGGCTACCCTCTGCCCAACAGTGACTTCAGAAGGACCCTGCACCAGAGCCCAACGTTTCCTAAGATTCATAGGTCATGGAGTTATGAAACTATGGAACCAGAAGGGACACGCCATTCATGGGTCAGGTGTCCAACCTCTGCTCTTGGAGAGTGTGGCTTCATGTGTCTTGTCAGGGAGATGTGCTAACAGTGGTCCTGAGGCCCCTGAGCCCAGGGGCCACGTCTCTCAATTGGCTGGAAGTGAGGAGAGATGAGCATAAGGGGGAGAGTTCCTTGGACGTGGGTTCTCCGTGCTCAGCTGTACGGAGTTGTGAACAGTGGCAGGAACGAAGCCAAGGCTGGGGTTGACTTTCACTACTACTGTGTGCCTGGTGTCCCCAACCTGGACATGCTGGTCAGCAACAGTGGCACTGATGATGACTGAGGAGAGGCACTGGCGGAGCCGTCTGTTTCACACAGTGGTCCTAGTCACTGTCTTAGGTCCCATGGTGAAGAAAAATGTACTGCTTCATGGACCCAGTGTCAGGAATGGCTGGATCTAGGTGTTCACACAGTGTCACCTTTCACACGTGGGTTTCACTAATGGGCAGGTACCTTGCAAAAAATGGCCCTGACATCTCTAAGCTTAAACAACCTCAACTCAAGCCTCCCAGTAGAGAGAGCTTCGTTCCCGCTTCTCAAGCCCCAAATTAAACAATTCATAGGTTCTTAGACTCTTTTTATTTTCTCCCCACCTTTTAACAGCTTTGAGAGAGTGATGGCATCTTACAGTCGAAATGGGCATCATTTTTTCTCCTTGGGAGGTGTTTTAGAGAGCAATACAATTTATAATTCATGGCATCTCAGAATTGACGCAATCTGGTGGCCTGTCTGTCTAGCTGTGCCCATTCCCCAGACCAGCTGTGGTAGCCACAGGAAGAGAATGTCCTGGTCGACCAGACTGGGTCAGGCCGTTTGGTCTCACCCCAGAACGGAGGGTGGTGATGGTGGTTTTTTCCTAGAGGAAACTCAGGATGCTCTTCGTGGAAAGTCAGGAGCTGGGAGGTTTCCACAAGTGTTTGTCCCTCTGTGGCAACCCCAAAGAATGCAGTCTCCCTGTGGTGTCTTTCTTCTTTCTTGCATCACTGCCTGGACCCAGCTGTGCCACCGGAAAAACGAGACGCAGATGAGGTGGCACCGGGCGGGAAATGTGAGTGAGGCCGGTGGGGAGATGGCCCTGGGTTGGGGAGAAAGCTGGCGCGGAGGTGGCAGTTGCCTCTTTTGCTGGCTGTGGCTGTGGGACCTCGTTTTTCTCGCTGTCCTCCCTGGATGACTGTGGAATGAGGCCGCGCACAGTGAAAGCCTCCTAGTGCACGAAGGCCAGCCAGCTGCCCAGAGGCGAGAATTCTCCCTCGT